CACAAGACAATTAATTGTAAGAGAGAAGACTAAGGTCTGAATTTGAACTTCATTTAAATTCAGACATTAAGTTAAGCTTTGACGGATTCCAGCTTCAGATCACATGTTAATTTTCAACGTGATATTCGTATGATTAAATTTGATTCTAAAGCGGCTTAAATTTAAAATTTTATAAATTTAGACTATTCATTAAATAATAGGGTCCTAAAATGGCTATTTGTGCAATTAGCGCGACAACAGGGCCGTGCAACGAAACTAAGAATGGGCTAACCCCAAAATTGAACTAAATGGGCTAGTACTACAGCAATAAAACTGATATTAGTCAAGTCCAGCCCAAAAGAGAACCTAAGTAAGAGCCCAGTATATAATAAATCCCTAATTCCCTCCGTTTTCCAATTAGGGTTTCAGAATCTAGGAGCAGCCTCTGCACCAAAAACAGCTTCCAGTAGCAGCAATGGGTGCGTATGCTCAATCTACTCTAAATTCGCAATTTGAATCCATTTTCAATGTTTTCTGATAATTTTTCTCCAAATTTTAGTGATTTCTTACACATAATAATATTCTAACTATGATATCTTCAATGATAAATTGAGCGTCAGATGATTCATATAGTATATCATAATAGTTCGCAATTGAGGTATAATTGATTGTTTGGTTGATTTTGTGTGATTTTTACGTATAAAATAGTTTTAACTTTGATGAATATGAATAGAGCGAAATTTATACCTAGGATTCATATAGTCGATATTTTAATTGATTTGGAATTGACGCGTAGTTGATTGATTGATTGATTGATTTTATTCATAAGGCTGATATCACTTTGGCTGATTATGTGATTGATGAAAATGCAGCAAGAATCAAGGTTCATGAGCTGAGGAACAAGACAAAGACTGAGCTACTGGCTCAGTTGAAGGATCTGAAGGCCGAGCTTGCCCTACTTCGTGTTGCTAAGGTCACCGGTGGTGCTCCTAACAAGCTCTCCAAAATGTATGCACTGCCTTTCTTTTTTTATGTGGTTGATTGGAATATTTGTTCGGAGTTGGTATGATTTTGCTTGAGATGTGTGTATTGCAAGTGATACATGTGATTGCATAAGCATACACAGGGGCGGAGGTAGAGTACGGGATGGGGGTTTGGCCGAACCCAATAGCTTTTGTTCAAACCATGTATTTGTCATAAGAAATTCATTGAAAATGTACAATTTATTAATTTAGAACCCACTAACTTAAAAAGATTACAATTCTGAACCCATAAGGTTCAAATCATAGTCCCGCCTCTGAGCCTACATAAGTAAACTTCTAGTGCATTAATGTCTTATATTGACCTTTATATGAAACTCTTTCTGTTTAGGATCTGTCGCAATATATTACAGTATCCACTTTTTTTGCTATTAATATTGTCTATGTCATTTGATTCAAAAAATTATTTTTGTATGATTATTTCTCAAGAATTATTTTATGTATGCGTCACTAAAGACCTACTAATACAAATGTGAAGCAATTAGTATGCTATTAATGGCTTGCAATAATGGAACCTTGTCTTGTCCATATCGGACCGAGACTAAGTAGCGATATTTATTGTCACAGCACCCAAGGAAAACTTCGTTGGAGGTGTCTTAGTAGAATCTATGCTAAAAAGAGAAATGCAAGGGCCCGGAAGCATTACTAACTACTTTCCAATACAAAAGTGGAACAATTAGTATGCTATTAATGGCTTGTGATATGAGAGAGTTATCTTGTTCATATATGAGTAAGACTTAGTATTGGCTTATTGTTGATTATTCTCACGGCACGCAGGAAAACCTTAGTTGGTGGTGTCTTTCTTAGTTTGGTGACCAAGCAATAGAATGAATCTTGAAAAGACAAATGCAAATGTGTCAGCTATTATGTGTTGTATGACTTTGTTTATACTTTTGACATTGACCTGATTATCTTAATGATTGTGTGGATGCAGCAAGGTGGTAAGGTTGTCGATCGCACAGGTTCTGACTGTAATTTCGCAGAAGCAAAAAACTGCTCTTCGGGAAGCTTACAAGAACAAGAAGTACCTACCTCTTGACCTGCGCCCTAAGAAAACTAGGGCCATCCGCAAACGTTTGACCAAGCACCAGGTATCCTTGATTTTATCCTTCATTTGGTGTTTATGCACTTTGCACTAGTGAGCTTGTGGGCTCCTAATTTGGCAATGCAATATGCTACTCTTGGTTTTAAATGCTATTCTTCTTCTATCCTAGAAAGAATGACGCAATTGGTAGTTGGCGAGTTAAGTAATTTTTCTTTGCTACTATTGCTTAAAACATTTTTTCAAGTATTTCTAACTATACAAGTTTTGGATTTGCTTATAAATGCGGGTTACCAGTGGTTTTGTTTTCTAACTCAGTAATGTAAGGGGGTTTTGATGTTAAATGACGTGGCAGTTTTCTTCAATCCTGTCAGCAATATTTTTAGTTCTTTAACAACTAATGGTGTTAATTCATGTTCTTTATCCGTACAGGTGTCATTGAAGACTGAGAGAGAGAAGAAGAAGGAGATGTACTTCCCCATCCGAAAGTATGCCATCAAGGTGTAGGATAGGATCTACTTTGGCAGAGCCTTTTGTGTTTTGAATCAGAATATATTGGTGAAACTATTGAGCATGCAAATTTTGTTTAGCTTTATTTCGTTTGGCGCTTGTGACAACACATGACTGATATGGAGCTTAGTTCGTTCCAAGTTTCAAGTTTATTCTTATTTTATGTTGAGCACCCTGTTATCTTTGATCTAAAGGGTTTTAAAGCTTATTCACACTTAATTGGATAAATGATTGCTTGATCACATTGCAGTCCGCAAGTTGATCTCGCACTTGCATTTTGTCCTTTTAAGATTTTCTGATGCGCGTGTTAAATGCATGTCACGAGTTTGAATTTGTCGTGGACAATAGACGTAAATGGTGAAGAGTAGAGCGGTGAGAAGTTTTTGAAATGTGCCCCAACGTGCCCCAACTTGTACTTGGTGTTTCTCAGTTGATGAAAAAATATTCGTATGTACAAGCTGTGAAGTAACATGGTTTGACGTGGATTCTGCTATTGATGTTGTTGGAAAAAATGCCTATTGTTCGTGCCTTTTTTTTGTCTCAAGTAATTAAGTGCCTCGTTGATCAATAGGGAATGAGGGATAATGCTATTGCATACCAAGTTGAGATTGAATATCTTGTAAATATGGTTTACACAATGCAAAAGCTTCAACACATCAAATCTGTTTGTCATACCTTAGTCGTAGACTTGAGCCGATTAATGAGGGGAAAAAACTTTTTTAGTACCATAATAAAAAAGAAAAAAGGTTTTGAGATCTGAGATTATGACAGACATGCAGTCAACTGATTCTGCATTATACGTGCAATCCTCACATAAGATTTTCTTTTATTTTATGCCTAGCATTATTCAAGCATTAATTGAATTGGTCAAAAACATTTAGTCTAACATACGTATTATATTACAGCAATAATAGGGATTAGATGTGACCTACTTTTAGTGAACTAACTCGTGCTATTTTTACTTGATAAATAGCACAAATTAGTTTGTTCAACCAAGTTGACGTAGACATGATTACACGTATCCATGTGATTACTCATTAAAATAATGCAATCAAACATTTGCACAAGTAAAAAGAAATTCCATTTTGAGGGAGAAAAAAAACAAATACTTGCCTTGAAACGTATGCTTAAAATAAATATAATGAGAAATGTTATAATTGGATAATCAAGTTTAAAAATGCACGAGTAAGGTATTGTTGCTCAAACATAAAAACCAAGTATTCGGAGATTACCTACTCATTACTGAAATGGAAAAGAAAATGAACTTGTTTAATTCTGCTGTATTACATATCATGAAATTATCTTTTCCTTGAAATAAATTTCAACATTTGAAATTATTGGCTAGCAAAATACACCTCTTACAGAAGGAGCAATTTGACTGTAATTTCCCATTGGAAGTCCTTTTGATAAAGTGAAAGTCTTTTGATCGTTAAGGTTGCACTTATACTTCATATAAACTTGTTAGTCAACGTGGACTATTCATTCAAACATGAATATATGCTATTTAAGAAAAGCGATGGAAATTTAAAGTAAGGAGAAATACGAGCTGATTTTCTAGAAAACAAATATTTTCAACTGAAAAATAATATGTGTGGCCATGATAAAATGATCGCAACTGGAAAAACCATACTGGCAACCTCGTCAAGTTGTTTCCTTAGTCAAACTAATACATTACCTTGTAAAATGGGAAAATAAAAAATAATATAAACTGCAGAAATTCCATTCTTTTCTTTTTAATTCATGACAATAGGGATTTGTACAAATATTTCTATGAAAAAACGCAGAAGCATCTAATGAGGAAAGAGAGGTGGCTTGGCAGGTAAGAAATGGCTTGGGTACGGCCCTTCCCCAGACACCGTCTTTTAGAGTTTGTTTAGAAAGTCACCGTGTATAATTGAAGTAATTACTAGGGTTGTAATTAAATTATAATTACGACATCATGTTTGTTTGTTATAACGTAATTATAATGTAATTACAACCGTACTGTTTGGTTGCCCAAGTGTAACTACACGGTTAGATTAAATTGTAAACGAAGTAATTATCAAAACTTAAAAGTTAATAGAATAAATTAATGCCTATAAATTATTATTTTTTATAAGTATAAATGTATTAGATTTGGTATTTAAGATGCATATTTTTTTCTTGAATATACATTAATTAGTAATCATATATTTATAACTAATATTATAAAAATAATTAATATATATTTTTCAAATTAATAATATTTAGTTTAATTAATTATAAAAACTAAAAATATACGTTTTGTAAGAACGTCGTGGAATAGATGTTTGATAAAATAAATTAATATTTATAAATATTATAACATTATTCAAATGTTTGACAAAACTAATCTATCAATTCTAACTAAAAAATGAACAACATGCAATGTGAAATAACAAGCCAATACTACTAAAACAAGTAAATTGGACCCATAAATATAACACAATTTCAAAATCAAAAAATAATTTTAACATATGTCAAATTCCAACATAATAAAACTAAGTTCCAATACATCTTAAGACTAGAAAACATAATAACTTTATAACCTCATCCAACAACAAAATTCTACTCTAATGACATCACTCATTATATGCCAAATTTGTTAACGACTCAATATTTCTAATATTAGGTATAGTTTCAAAAACTAGAATTATAACAAAGTTACGCTAAATGAAGAAAATAAAACAAATAAGAAATAAAATATACGAGCAATTACATGTAATCACAAGAAGTAAAGGTAGAGAAACAAAAGATAAATAACACACAAAGAAAAATATATTTTAAAATTTAAAAGCAAAAATAAAAAAATAATGGAAATAATAAAAAGTTATAAAGAAAATAAATTAAAATAAAAACAAAAAGGAAAGAAACTAAAAAATAATCTTGTAATTACACAGTGTAATTAAGACCAATTCTCATCTCCCCTTGAGAATTGTAGAGTGTAATTACACCTCTTCAATTACACCCAATTTCATGCTGACCAAGTAATTACTTGGCCAGACAAACACGCCATAGTGATTCCTTGAGCCTAACTATGTATTTCCAATACCTTAGAAAACTGGTCGCAGCTTGCAGGGGAGCTTTCGTGCAACATAAAAAGCTACCACTAGTTATCAGGAAGTCACAGGTTCAAACCGTGAAAACAATCTTTTGAAAAAAATACAAGGTAATACACAATAGACTCAATATGGTCTGACTCTTTTCCAAACAACGCACATAGTGAGAGCTTTTGCACCAAGCTACCCATTTTTTTAATTCTATTTTAAGATGGATCATAGACTATAGAATTGGTTTGTAACCATATATTGGGATGACCAGTCAAACCAATGCCAACACATCCCTCATCTCAAAGGTCTGACATTTATTTTAATATTTTTGGTGGAGTTTTGTCAACACAATCTCAGTTCAAACAAGAACTAAATACATCTCCTAAATATATGCAATTGTCAACAAATTCAGCTATGGCCCTCTTTTACCTCAATAGTTTCAAGAAATTCAGTCTCTATCAAGTCCAATGAGTGCACAAAGTCAACTTTCACCTTTGCTCAATTAGGAACCGCAGCTCTTTCCTTTTCTATTTAAACAAACTTCCTAACATAACTGTTATCCATAGCTCAAATATTCACATTCCTATCTTTGCTACATTCTGTAAAATTCATCAAAATGGCAATTCTTGACATCTCTAAGAGAGAAGCATCGTCACCATCGACGCCAAGGCGAGCCAAGAAAAGCCTCTTCTCTTTCACCAAAACAAATTCATCCCTTTCTACATTTTCCAGTCATTTACCTCCTCCAACACCTTCACACACACTCTCCCAATCAATCATGGAGGAAAACATCGATAACGCTGAGACCATTATCAAAAGATGGGATCCCAAAGAATCCTCCTTTGAGAAATTCTGTTCACTTTTTCAAGAAGACAGAAAAGAAGCCAAAGAATTCATTCAATGTGTCAAAGACTTAAAAAGAGCTATGCACTTTCTTGTTATGGAGCATTCAACTTCTAACAAGCTTGTGCTAGCACATAACTTGATGCAAACAGCCATGAAAAGACTTGAGAAAGAATTCTATCAAATTTTGTCAACAAACAAGGAGCATTTAGATCCAGAATCAGTATCTAAGTCTAGTCAATCCTCACACTTATCACAATCAATTGCAGTTGATTCACAAGAAGATGAAACTGGCTCTGAAAATGAGATTCAGGCAGTTGTTGAATCCATATCCGAGGTTGAACGGCTTTCTGTACTAGCTATGTCTGATCTCAACCTGATTGCAGATTGTATGGTTGGTTCTGGTTATGCAAAAGAGTGTGTGAAGATCTACAAAATTATAAGAAAGTCAATCGTGGACGGAGGCCTCTATCGTCTTGGGATTGAATCACGTAGCTCGGCTTATATTAACGGGAAGAATTCAGATGCTCTTGAGCATCAAGTCAAGCACTGGATAAATGCAGTGGAAGTTGCAGTGAAAACATTCTTCTATGGAGAGAGGTTTCTGTGTGATCATGTGTTCTCAGCCTCCAACACAATCAGAGAAACATGTTTCACTGATATAGCAAAAGAAGGTGGAATCAATCTGTTTAGATTTCCAGAGGTTATTGCAAAATCCAAGAAATCACCTGAAAATATTTTCTTTTTAATGGACTTGCATGAAAAAATCTCAGAACTCTTGCCTGAGATTGAATCAATCTTTTCGTATGAATCAATCTCAGCAGTCAAAGTGCAAGCCCTATCCACCCTTCACAAACTTAAGGCCTCAATCCAAACAACTCTCTCTGATTTTGAGTCGTCGATCCAGAAGAATTCCTTAAGAACACCAATTCCTGGTGGTGGGATTCATCCATTGACCAATTCTGTTTTAGATTATGTATGTTCACTGGCCAACTACAGCGGAGTCCTCTCTGATATAATTTGTGACTCTGCCCCCGCAGCACAATCGCCATTTCCTGAATCTTACTTCGACAGTCCATCAGCCAACGAGACGCCAACTTCAGCAGTATCTGCTAGACTTGCTTGGATCATCCTTGTCCTCCTTTGCAAGCTCGACAGCAAAGCTAAGCTTTATAATGACATCGCTTTATCCTATCTTTTCCTAGCTAACAATCTCCAATTCGTTATCGAGAAGGTTCGTACAAGTGTACTCAAGTGTCTTCTAGGAGATGATTGGATATCAAAGCTTGAGAGAAAGGTAAAACTATATGCAACAAACTACGAAAATGTGGCTTGGAATAAGGTGTTTTTGTGCCTGCCTGAAAGTTTGGATCCATCAGTTTCCCCTGATATAATAAAGGAACATTTCAGAAAATTCAACACAGCTTTTGACGAATCATACCAGAAACAAAAATCTTGGGTGGTTCCAGATGGAAAGCTACGAGACGAGATCAAAGTGTCAATAGCAAGAAAACTAGTACCTGCTTATCGAGATTTCTATGATTACTATATGATAGTATTGAGTGGGGAAAAGAATTTGGAGGTCTTAGTAAGATTTTCTCCTGATAATATAGGGAATTACTTGTCAGATTTGTTTCATGAAACTGTGCCGTTAGGGAGTTTATTGTCAGCATCAACATTGCCAAACTCCTGTGTTTGGCAATGTCTTTCTTAATTTGCTCATGGTCATTGCCAAGATCTGGACATAACCATTTTGGTGAATAATGTATACTAAGTACTACAATTTCTTGATTTCAATACAAAATTTCTCTCCCTGGAAAAGCTACCAATGTTGCTCCCCGCTCCCCCCCACCCCACCCCAAAACAAAACAAACGCACACACGTAGAGAGTAGAACAATCCTTCAACTATAAGTAGTAGCGCCTGCTATGCAGATTATGCAATATTAATCAGACTGCTAAATAATGATAAAAGCATGGAATATCACCAAACAATTTCTTAAGGGATACTATTTGCTTTACCACCCAAGTCCATATGGTTACTTTGCATTCAGACTATATAAACTGCCCAAGTTGCTATTTTGCCAAATGAACCTTTCTGGTGAAAATTTCACTGGATATTTATCAGATTTCAAAGGAAGCTTGGCTAAAAAGGGTATTGGATAAAGGCTGGAAATTAGAGAATGAAGTTGAATGTTATTTAGCATTCCTAAAATGTCACTTGGCATAAGTACCAGAAGTACTTGTTAGATACTGGTTATTGAAACTTAACAATTTTTTGAGACCAAAAAACGGAAGCAGAGTCATGCGACCTATTAGGAAGATTGTAACAAGCACATAAACCTAATTCTGTGTAATTTAAGTTTTGAAATAACAAATTACTACAAGATAAAGTGTGGAAGGGGTGTGAATGAAATGTCATCCAGATGTAATAGAAGAGCGCATATCATTAAACTTAAACCTTTATACCCGAATTGAAATATGCATCTTCAAATGCACTTATCAGGATATAAGCTCTATGACATCCAAGTTGGATTGAAATGTCACCAGTTTGACTTTCATTATGTATGTTTGACTTTGATATGAAGAATAATATACACTACAGATAGAAGATATTAAAACTTGTTAGCAGGTGTCATATGACAAGCAAACTCTTCTCCTGACTGAGGAATATATTGGCATTTGCCAACATGTTCAAATGCAGAGAACACGTAAATTAGAGTTTTACTCAAACAGAAATCACATTCTTCACCAACACCTATTTGTTTTAGTTAACAACGGTGTTTGGGACAGTTTACGTGCCTCGACTATTTCACCAAGGACATGATACCTCCCACCCAGGGGCGGTTCTAAGGCTTTAGGGTGAGGCCATTGCCTTAGGCCCCCAAATTTTGAAGGCCCCCAAATTTATTTTAAATTCTTATTATTATTGTTACTATTATATACTATATAATTTATATAAATAATTAGAATAAAGAAAAGTGTTACAGTATATTTTTTGTTACTTGATTGAGGTTATTTTATACAATAAATTTATAAATTATGAAATTTTCTTCGCTCATTAATTAGTATATTTGCTTCACTCTTCAATTTTAATTTTATCTTTTATATATAGGAATTAAGTTATGTATATCGACAACATAATAAATTTCTTTTATAATGTTCTCTGAAACAACATGAACACAAAAGCACCCATGCACCAATTTTCTTTTAGTGTAATTCGACATACTATATTAGGTTATTTGCAATTTATTTTAGATATTCACCAATAAGTGCTACTTAATAGAATGAACACAATCACCGTTTAAATTGATCAGATGGAGTAAATATTTTTTACACCGTCAATACTCAAAACTTAAGTTATTACGTTATGTACGTTTATTTTATTTTTTTCTTGTTTGTGATGATAGCCGAATCAAAATTTTCACTTAGTTTTGGATCTCAATATTCGATAGTCCACCGTTTTATTTTTTGTGCTCTTTTTCCTAATTTTTTTTGAAATTCGTTTTTTTGTCTTAAATGATTTATTTGTTATTTAAAAAGTAAATTTTGTTGTTAGCGTAAATATTTTATAAAATACATTTAAGGGCCTCTGAATATGGTTTCGCCTTATGCCACAAGATCTGTTGAGCCGACCCTACTCCCACCTGCACATATACCGTGTAACTTTGCCTGCCAAGGCTTAACGATGAGAAGAATCACCTAGTGTTTTTCCTCAACTGCAATTTGCACCATAGCCTTTCATGAATTTCATCCCACTTCATTGACCACTAAGTGACACCCTTGGGTGCAATTGTTGCCTTGACACTCTTTACATGTATTAATTGAAATATCAAGAAAAGATTGAGAAAAGACCATGCAGAATTTAAACCCAGACTTTTGGCAGAATGATTGTCTCACAATGTTGGACATATAACAAAGCAGTGATAAAATTATATTACCTCACTGCATACCGATTATATGGGGCGATTTCCACGTCGAATTGTTTCTTAAACCAAACAATTCGAAAGGTCATTCTAATACATAGTGGGAATCCAATAACTTTTATGTACAAGTAGGAACATAAATTTTAAGGATAAGAAGAGTTCAACAAGTTGGGAATTTTCTGGTTCATTGAAGATCAAAGGTCATTTCAATACATAATGGGAATTCAACAACTTTTATGCCCAAGTACAAACATAGATTTTAATGATAAGAGGAGTTCAACAAGTTGGCAATTTTCTGGTTCATGAAAATTAGCTAGATCAGTATCACCTCAATTATGAACAAGAGTAATGTGAACGTTAAAAGAAATAGTGAAACTTCGAGGTAAGACGTTGTTTAGGATTTCAGTATATGAGCAGCAGATCACGTCCAATCTCTAAATATAGTTTAGATTTATCTATATCAAGACTTTTAAATTATGAGAGTTACTTAAGATTGTCTTGAATTGTATACTGACAAAGCTACCAGCCATGAATAAACATTATTGCTGTACAACTAAAAATGAAGTATCTTCTCCTTCCTAAGTTGATGTCCAGATCAATATCCACCGTTTGGAACTTCATACATTTCACTTACCATGAAAAGTAACACGAGACTCACTTTTCCCTTGTCTACATAACTTTTATTATGCTCTGTTTGAACTAAGAAATGAAACAGTGAATGGTAAGTTTTCTCTCTTTCTTTTTTCCACAATCATTTATTTTAATTGATGGCACATGATTATCATGCCATTGATAAGCTACTGAAGAGTTCATTTATTTCAACAGACTTTTAACTCTTTGTTTTTATAATCGAGAAATTTGTTGTTTCTTGTTTTGAGACTCGCTAGATAATGAACCAGTCACTCTATTTTTCTCCACTTAAATACCAGGTCCCGAGTTGTTCCGTTGATTGTTGAACTAAAACTGTGAGGATAATAAGCCTTCAACTCATTTGGCATCAAATAAACATTTTCCCATGATACATTGCCAAATTAGTTCTATTTTGGATAAGTACAAATTCCAGCAGATTAATAGTCATGCTTGGCCAAACTTCTAAAATTAGCTTATCTTGAAAAGTTTTTTTTTTTTTCTTAAGGTGCTTTAAAAAAGAGTACTTTTTCGGTGAAAAACACTTTGCGTTTGGCTAATAAACAACAACAATTAGTGTTTGATCATACTTTTAGAAACTACTTCTATATTTTTCTCAAAAGCGCTTTTCTAAAAGTTGTTGGCGAGAGCTATTTTTTTCTATTTCTCAAAAAATGTTTGCTTATAATCAAAAATATTTTTTTTTTCTAGAAACTCGGCCAAACAAATCAACTTTGAAAAATAAAAGAAAAAGTATTTTGGTATTGGAGAAGCTTGGCCAAAAAAGGCTATAAATTCCTGATACAGGCTCATCTACTTCCCTTAATCTCGGTCTATATTCAAAATACAAAATTAATCTAATTGCTACCAATTTCTAAGCCTCAATACGAATTAAATTTGCAAAATCAAAGAAGAAAGGACAGGGAGGAGGAACAAGCCTGCTAATATTGTGCCTGAACTGAACCGATCGATAACCAGCTAAATCCAGCCAGAGCTCCCAAAACCACTGCCGGTTGTGCATATAATGCGAGCTTTTGGATAGAGCTATATATAAGTGATGAAAACTGTTTAATAATAGTCTAATATAACCACTATTTTAACATCCTCAAACTTAAGGGACCATTTTAGTCAAAGTAATATCTTCTTTTCAGATTTTTACTGAGTGGTAAGTTGTTGCTTGCCCATCTATTTTGACCAGAGTCAGCCTTCTAAGCAAAATTTATAATTGTGCCCTCTAATTTCTCAAAATGTTAAAAAGAAACCCTTGTCACTTCCCACTTTGGTCCCATACTTTTTGTCCATGGCAACGAGGATGATTTAGTTTAAAGGTGACAAACGGGTGGGCCAGGCCGATAAATAAGTGACCTGGGCCGGGTTTCGAGTTTTACGAACCGGGCTTAATGGGTCCAGTCCCATCCGGTCAAAAAATGAACCGGAACGGTTCCGCGCCTAAGGGGCCGGACCGAGCCGATTTTTTTTTTTTTTTTTTTTTTTTTTTTTTTTTTTTTTTTTTTTTTGCATTTTGTATAACTAAAGTAAAAATATAAAACAAAAAAATAATCTTATAAAAAGAGTGTTTGAATAAAGGATGCAAAGACTTTAAAATTCATATATTTGAATATTTCATTAAGAATTTAAGATAATAGAATACAATGAAGACTTTATTATTAAATTTTTGTATTAAATAATAGAATACATTAAATATTTCATCAAACTTGCAAATTAAAGTTTACATTTAACAATAATTAAATTAATAAAAAAAAGTAAATTCAAAGTTTAATTATTAAATATAAATCTAGAACTTCAAAGGGTTTGCATTGCCTTAGTAAGTTCTTCATAATCAATATGACCTTCTTGGCCATCTTTTGGAGTGTTAAATTCAAAAGTTTTCATAGTTTCATTTCAAATTTTCATTACATAATAATACTATAAATTAATCTAACAAACTAAAACATTAAGCATAATACGTCAAATAATTTTAAAATAACAGAAATTGTCTCAAATCAACTTAAAATCTTAAATACGAATTTTTGGAGGACGCTCAAGACAACTTTTCATATGCCTCCTTAAACATCATGTGCCCTCCCACAAGATTTAAGACTCGACCATAGTTCTTGCACTTTACTCTGTGAACTTCATCATTTTCTTCAATTACCTCAAAGTGTTCACAAACATATGAGCGCACTCTAGAATCACGGGGCATGATTTAACTTGAATTGAGAATTTGAGTTTGAGAAATGAGAGATGACTGGAGAAATGAAGAAGAGGGGGAGGAGTGTATTTATAGTTTTTCAAAATGCTAAATTAGTAATTACAAAATGTGTTATTTTTTAAAATAATTGCCCAAAAAGGGCTATTCTTGCAAAATATCCGTTGGGCAACTGTAAAATTGGAAGTTGACCGTTACCAACGGTCAAACGAATTTTTTTTAAAAAAAAAAAAGAAAAAAAAATCATTATTGAACCGGGCCGGCTAACAGTGATTTTTCTTGACCGGGTTTGACCGGTCCGGTTAACCGAATTCTTTTTATACGGACCAACCCCCCAAACCCAGCCTACCCGGCCCCCTAACTACCGGTCCGGGGGTCAACCCGGCCTGTTAAACATGCTTAATTTAGTAGTAATCCTTACTCCATTACCTTCAAACTACGAGTGAAGTGTTCGAGTCACATTTGAGAAGAAATAATGACATTGTTTTATCGCTCGTTTGGCGGTAAACTCTATTTTTATTTTTCGTGATATTCACTGAGCATATTTAATAGTAAATATATAAAGATATGTATTTTTGATCCCTTTACATAGAAATAATGTTATATTTAGATTACTTTTACGATTATATTACTAATATGATCTGAGTTGTGTATAGCTACGGGAAGTAGTACGTTAGGCTTTATTAGTAGTAAAGACTAAGTGGTTAAGTTTGTTATAGAATTAAGGAGTTTAACAGTTTGGTCATTTACTCATTTACACTTAAGTCCATTAGTTTTATCACTTTACTTTCGAGTCCATCTTCCTAGTAAGGAGATATATGTATCAGATTGAGCTCATTTGGAAATATATAGAAGATGAATTCTGCTCTCTCCTCATCTTAGTTCCTTAATTCTTTTAATTTTTGTTTGTTATTCTCAAGTTACATCAGTGGTATTAGAGCACTTTCCGGCTCTATGGAGGATTCATAATGTCTGGTGAAATCAAAGAGGTGTTAAATCGACTGGATCGAGTGGCAATTGAGGTGGCCAACGTTAATCTCCGACAGAACCATCTAGAATCCGCGAATGAAAAGGCTTTTCGTGAACTAAAAGAAATACTTTCGGCGGGTTATAACTCCGGTAAGGGCAAGGAAGCGAGTTCAACAGTAGTGAATCAAGCTGATATGCACTCACCCAC